CTAATGGTGCCCCACTTTTCCCTGAAATGCTGTTCATTTTTTCTCATTAATTTTCTTTGTCTTTCTGATGGCATAATTTCTATTGCTATACCCTCAGGTCTGTTGATTCTTTCTTCCAGCTGAAATCTACTGTTGGGCCCCTGAAGTGAATATTTCATTTTTGTTGTTATACCTTCCAATTCTATAGTTTAGCCCTTTAAAAAATCATTGCTATTTCTTTACTAGTGTTTTCTATTTCATGAAACATTGTCATTATATTCTTCTGCTACTTCACTAAACATTATTTTCTTTAGTTCTTTGAACATATTTATAATAGCTGCTTTAAAGGCTTTGTTAAGCCTGACATGTGGGCCCTCTCAAAGGCAACTCCTGTCACTGATGTTTTTTTCTTTGTATGGGTTATACTTTTCTGTTTCTTTGCATGTCTCATTCTTTGTGGAAGATTAGAGATTTTAGATATTACATTGTAGCAACTTTGGATACTAATCCCTCCCTCCAGTTCTCCCTGAGCTTATTGTTTATGGTTGTTTACTTATTTATTTGTTTGTTTTCTTTTTTGAGACAGGGTCTCACTCTGTTGCCCAGGCTGGAGTGCTGTGGTGCGATCACAGCTCACTGCAGCCTTGACCTCCCCAGCTCAAGTGATCCTCCTGCTTCAGCCAACCAAGTAGCTGGGACTACAGGCAGACTATTTTTTTTTTTTTTTTTGAGACAGAGTCTCACTATGTTGCCCAGGCTGGAGTGCAGTGGCGCCATCTTGGCTTACTGCAAGCTCTGCCTCCTGGGTTCATGCCATTCTCCTGCCTTAGCCTCCTGAGTAGCTGGGACTACAGGTGTCCGCCTACATGCCTGGCTAATTTTTGCATTTTTAGTAGAGATGGGGTTTCACCATGTTAGCCAGGATGGTCTTGGTCTCCTGACCTCGCCCGCCTCAGCCTCCCAAAGTGCTGGGATTACAGGCGTGAGCCACTGCGCCCGATGCACTATTTTTTTTTTTTTTTTTTAATAGATGTGGGATTTCGCCATGTTGCCCAGGGTGGTCTTGAACTCCTGAGCTCAAGTGATTCACTGCCTCGGCCTCCCAAAGCACTGGGATTACAGGCATGAGCCCCTGTGTTCAGACCTTTTTTACTTGTTTAATGACGTGGATAAACTATTTCAGTAAAGTCTATTTCCTTTGCAGTGTGCAGCTTCTAATGTCACACCTCAGGTGGGGCAGCCTTGGCCTTGTGTACAGTCACCCTAAGAATGCAGTGTTTTCCGCAGGGCTGTCTTGATTTTATCCTTCTCTGATCTCTCTGTTAAGCTCTGTGCCTCTGTTGGTCTCACACCCAACTATTAGCCTCCACTAACTACGTGCTAATTGTTCTACTGTTTTCAAAAATGCTCTGGGGGCAGTAATTGCTCTATCTGCTTCTCCAGGCCCAGCTCCTCCAGTGTGTGATATCTTCAGGGGTATCCATAAACATGCTTACGAAACCAAAAATTGCATTATTTGTCATGAGTTTTAGAAAGATAATTACACCTAACCAGAATAGTGAATCTTATAACCCTCTAAGACAAACCTAAGTAAACTCTTACAAAGATACAATGACATAAAAACACAAAAATCTGCCATGCATATACTCACTGGGGTAAAGCCTCTTCTATAACTTTCATTTTCTGAAAAACAAAGCAAAACAAAACAAAACCAAAAAAACCCACACCTAAAAACATAAACAATAGGAATAAAAAAGGGGGTCTGCCTTCTAGTTCCAAGCTCCTGCAGCACTTGGAGGTCGATAACTTTCCCTTCCAGTCCCCTTGGGTGGTTTCACTTCAGAGGGCCTCCAGTAAAACACCTCCCTGTGAATGAATGGCTTTCCCTAGCACCCAAGAGGGAAGATTTTCAGCAAATGTGTTGAGTGTGTGCGTCAGGGGGAAGACACTAGTGAGTCCTCCTGGTGTAGCGGTAGAGCAACTTCTTTGCCAGTTAAGCAAATTCACTCTATGCTGTTTCCAACAAGAGCTGGGTGGGAAGCGGGGTCTTTCTTGGGTGCTCTGTTTAAGCCCTAGGGGTAGTGATATTTCGTTATATGTATAATTTCTATATTATTATTATTATTATCATTTTTTGAGACAGAGCCTCTTTCTGTTGCCCAGGCTGGAGTGCATTGGCACGATCTCCGTTCACTGCAACCTCCGCCTCCCAGGTTCAAGCGATTCTCCTGCCTCAGCTTCCTGAGTAGCTGGGATCACAGTGCCTGCCACCACGTCCTGCTACTTTTTGTATTTTTAGTAGAGACAGAGTTTCACCATGTTGGTCAGGCTGGTCTTGAACTCCTGACCTCAAGTGATCCACCTGCCTTGGCCTCCCAAAGTGCTGGGATTACAGATGTGAGCCATCACACCCGGCTTTGATTTCTATATTCCTTTGAGCCCTCTTTACTTCTTGCTAGCCAAGCCCTTGTCACTCCAATAGCCTGCTGTCATTCAGGATTCCTGATGTGAAACGTTTTCTCCCACACTGCAGACGCAGGGCACTGGTGAAGCTTCAGGTGCCACAGGACGCCGCTGCGTGAGCTCCTGGAACCCGGAAGCAGGATCCTTCTCTTCTACGATGTCTCCTCAGGACTCTTTACTGACAGAGCACAGGGACCAACCGGAAAAGGCAAAATATTTAGAGGTGCCAGCTCCATTTTCACGGAGCAGACCAAATTGTGAGTTTGGAATGAAGAGGCACTCATTGAAGAACCAGCAAAAACTCAAATGTCTGACGGCAACAGAAAGGGGAAAAAATTGTGACATATTCATATAGCGGAATGATATATATGAATGAGAATGAATGAACAGATATACACAACAGGGAAGAATCTCACAAGCATGTCAAGTGAGAGGTGCCAGACATAAAAAAAAAAAAATACTATCTGGGCTGGGTGTGGTGGCTCATGCCCGTAACCCTAGCACTTTGGGGGGCCGATGTGGGAAGAGTTCTTGAATCCAAGAGTTTGAGACCAGCCTGGGCAATATAGTGAGACCTTGCCTTTGCAAAACAAACAGCAAGAATGCTCTCTGCATGATTCCATTTACTTAAATTCAGAAGCCAGTCTCATGAGTCTCTGCTAATGGGGGAAGGAGAATGACTACCTTTGGTGGGTGCAGTAACTGAAGAACGGGTGCTAGTGGGGAGAAGGGAACGTCTGGGTTCTTAGAGGTGTTTATGTCCTGATTTGGGTTGTATATCAGGACATAAACAGGCCTGATCCTTCAACTGTAAGATAGGAGACTTGGCCAGCTTTCCTCGTCAGAGTGTGGTTAGGGTGAGCACAGCACATCTCATCCCAGCTCCTTAGCTAGCTGCCCTAACCCCAGTTTTGTTTTGTTTTGTTTCATTTGAAACAAGGTCTCACTCTGTCACCCAGGCTGGAATGCAGTGGTGCAATCTCAGCTGACTGCAGCCTCCTGCTCCAAGGCTCAAGTGATCCTCCCACCTCAGCCTTCTAAGTAGCTGGAACTACAAGTGTGCATCACCACCTCAAGCTAATTTTTGTATTTTTTGGTTGAGACAGGGTTTCACCATGTTGTCCAGGCTGGTCTTGAACTCCTGAGCTCAAGCAAACTGCCTACCTTGGCCTCCCAAAGTGCTGGGATTATAGGTGTGAGCCACCACACCCAGCCCCTAACCCCAATTTAAGGCTCCAATCCAGTCCACAGGGTATGCATAGAATAGCCAAGTGGTTAAGAGGCTCATCTCAGACCTCAGTCTGCTGGATTTAAATCCTGTCTTTCCCACTTATTAGCTCCATGGCCCTAGTTGAGTTATCTACTCACAGCATCTCGCTTTCCTCACCTGTAAGGCGGAGGTCATCATAGTGCCTGAGGAGTAAGTACTTATAAAGAACTCAGAAGGGGACCTGTCATATGGTAAGCAGAACACAAGTGTTTGTCATATTAAAATTTCTTTTTTCCTTTTTTTTTTTTTTTTGAGACAGAGTCTGGCTCTGTTGCCGAGGCTGGAGTGCAGTGGCATGATCTCTGCCTCTCCGGTTCAAGTGATTCTCCAGCCTCAGCCTCCCGAGTAGCTGGGATTACAGGCGTATGCCACCACTCCTGGCTAATTTTTGTATTTTGGGTAGAGACGGGGTTTCACCACGTTGGCCAGGCTGGTCTCGAACTCCTGGCCTCAAGTGGTCCTCCCGCCTTGGCCTTCCAAAGTGCTGAGATTACAGGTGGGATTACCACCATGCTCAGCCCAAATTAAAATTTCTAAAATTTTCAGGCTCAAGGCCTATTTCCCAAAATGGTTCCAATCATTTCTTTCTCTCTTAGAAGAAAGTAACGTAGATAAAAATTGTCCCCAAACCAGCCCTAGGCACCATTTTTAGAGGTGGAATATGAGGCTGGATAAAGCCCAGTTTTGCCTGCAATGGCATTCCTCTCTCCCGTCCCAGGACCCCAGAAGATTATTACCACCAGAAAACAAGCTAATCTTTGCCCTGGTCTGGCCAGAGGCCCAGAGCATGCATAGGCGGTGACCTAGTGAGACCTTGTTTCAAAAAGCAAAACAAAGCTGGGGTTAGGGCAGCTAGTGAGTGAGCTGGGGTGAGATGTGCTGTGCTCACCCTAACCACACCCTGATGAGGAAAGCTGGCCAAGTCTCCTATCTTACAGTTGAAGGATCAAGCCCTGGAGGCCTAGATCCTTTTCTAGCGTTCCCAGGAGCTGAGATGCCCATTTGAGCCTGATCTTCCTGAAGACCTTTGGGAAACTCACCTTCCAAGACTCCCCATGAGGGGCAGTATTGATTTTTCTGGGTCCCCACATTGCTTAGGGAAACAGGTTCCTCCAGCTCCCATTGGCCCTTTTGTGCCTCCCCTGAGAAGCCAAGTCAGGCCACTGTGTCAGGCTTAGCCCAGAGAGAGTGGGGTGGAGGAGGCAGAGGGTGTAACCCAGCCAGGTCCTCTTCACAGAAGCTCTCAGGCAAGCTCCTCAGGGCAGCAGCTCCTCGAGGCCCCAGGAACATGGCTCTCCCATGGCTAGTGCTACTCTTGGCATTGCCCATTTTTTTCCTGGGAGTCTTTGTCTGGGCTGTCTTTGAGCACTTCCTCACCACGGATGTCCCTGCTACCTTGCAGCATCCTGCCAAGTTGAGATTCCTGCACTGCATATTCCTCTACCTGATCACTTTGGTGAGTTTACTCTCAGGCTACGTCATAACCTCGGGGCTCCTTCTCTTGTTCTCAGTAGCTTACCCTCTTTTCCCTCTTTCACTTCCCTTCTGTCTCTCTCTCTTCAGACTCCCTCAAGATAGATGTGTCTCTTCTGTATCCGCCGTTCTGTTTCTCTCTCCCTCTCCTCCCTTCGTTCCTTCTCCCTTCCCATAGCCTGCCTGCCTTTCTTCCTCCCTCCCTCCCTCCCTTCCTTCCTTCCTTCCTTCCTTCCTTCCTTCCTTCCTTCCTTCCTTCCTTCCTTCTTCCTTCCTTCCTTCCTTCCCTCCTTCTCTCCCTCCCTTCTTTCCTTTTCTCCCTTCCTCTCTCCTTCCTTCATTCTCTCTCTTCCTCCATATCTCCTTCTCTCCCTCTCTGCCTGCCTGCCTTCCTTCCTTCCTTCTTTCCTTCCTTCCTTCCCTCCCTTCTTCCTTTTTCCTTCTTTCTTTCCCTCCCTCCCTCCTTCCTCCTTCCCTTTCTCCTTCCTTCATTCTCTCTCTTCCTCCCTATCTACTTCCTTGCCTCCCTCCCTCCCTCATTCATTCGTTCCCTCCCTCCCTCCCTTCCCTCCCTCCCTTCCTTCCCTCCCTCCCTTCCTCCTTTTGTTTCTTTCTTCCTTCCTCTCTCCTGATCTCTCTAACTCCCTTCCTTTCTTCCTTCAGCATCAAATATTTACCAAGTGCCAATCACTGGGCTTTATTCTGAGAATTCAAAAACAATTTCAGACCCATTTCCTGCCTTCCACAGACTTGTGGCCTGACAGCCCCTGCACCTCCTTCAGCCGCACCATCTTTCACCCTTGGTGCACTGAGTTGCCTACAGGTTGTTTCTATTTTATTTTACTTTTTAGAGACAGGGTCTTGCTCTGTTGCCCAGGCTGGAGTGCAGTGGTGCAATCATGGCTCAAGGCAGCCTCAACCTCCTGGGCTCAAGCGATCCTCCCATCTCAGTCTCCCAAGTAGCTGGGACTACAGGTGTGCACCACCATGCCTGGCTAATTTTTGTACTTTTGGTAGAGACAGGGTTTCGCTATGTTGCCCAGGCTGGTCTAGAACTCCTGGGCTCAAGCAATCTGCCCGCCTTGACCTCCCAAAGTGTAGGGATTGCAGGTGTGAGCCACCACCCCTGGCCTCACAGGTGTTTTTTTTCCTTATTCCTCTCTGTAAGCCCAGTTCCACTCACAGAGCTTGATATCTGGTAGGTGCTTACCTTCGTTGATACAATCATACATGGATTCACCCAGCTTTTCTGAGTGGCCCTGCCAGCCAGGCTCTGAGCAGGGCTTAGGGGTTGGGAGTTTGGGGGGGACCAGCACACACCCAGAGCTGCAGTGGATTTGGAAACAATGGTTTGACATCTTGTTTGTGGCAGGCAACCTAAGTTAACCCCAGTGTCCCAACCCTGGGTGGAGACCTCATAGAAGCCAAACAGATCCTGCTGATCGCAGGGCAGCTGTGGAGGAGGATGAGGGGACCACGCTTAACTGACAGCAGGGCTTAGGAATAAGGAACACAGACAGCAGCCGGACTGCCTGAGTGTGTCCCAGCTCTGCCACTCACTCACTGTGCGGTCCTGCACCGTTTACTTAACCTCTCTGTGTCTCAGTTTCCTCATCTGGGAGGGTTAATATGTTTAGAGATGTTTCGTCAATTCATAAAATACGTTTCTGTACGACTGGAAGTGTTCCCCGTGGGTAACAAAAACATTCTCTAAAAGATCGCTTTTAGAGAAGTGAACAAGTTCAGTGTGTAATGGCATCGATGCTACTGACTCAAGGAGACAGGGCAAGGACGTAGGAAGTACTCTTGTCTCTCTCATTTGGAGAATGCAACCAGCCTGGAATTAGGCGGTCTCAAGCCAGTGGCTGCAATCCACATGGAGTTACTGGTTGGGTTAGAGCCCCAGGACAAGGGACTCTGAAACAAGGGAAATTGAAGCCCAGGACTTAAAACGGGGGCCTAAGATGTTCAGATGGCCCAGAGAAATGGTGATTTTTTTTAACCTTCCGTGTTTCTCCTCAAAAGTAGTCCAGAAGCTAAGCATCTACTGATGACAGCTGCTACGGGCTGCCCACGGGAGACTCTGAGATGGGTCTGCAGCCACTGAAAGGGTGGATTCAGCTTGTGGCGTCCTCTCTCGATCCCCCCAGCACTGGGGCCTCCCGGGGCACACTGCCCATGGTGGGGTGATGATGATGAGGATGGAGACATGCAGTAGTGAATGTTCATTGGGTTCCAGAGGACAGATAGGCAACACAGGAGCAAGAAGTTTAGGGAGGACAAGGAAAAAGCTAAAAAGAGTCTATGGCCAGGAAATCAAGAGCTTTGTTTTGGTATCAGACCGCCCTCTGAGCCCTGAGGCCCTCACTTACTCGCTCTGTAGACTCATGTTTTTAAGCCTTTATGTTCTTCTGTGAAAAGTGAAGTTTTTTTTTTTTTTTCTGAGACAGGGTCTCACTGTCACCCAGGCTGGAGTACAGTGGCATGAACATGGCTCACTGCAGCCTCCACCTCCTGGGCTCAAGGGATCCTCCCACCTCAGTCTCCCACGTAGCTGGGACCACAGGCATGCACCATCACATCACGCCTGGCTAATTTTTTGATATTTTGTACAGATGGGGTCTTGCTGTGTTGCCAAGGCTGATCTTAAACTCCTGGATTTAAGCCGTCCGCCTGCCTTGGCCTCCCAAAGTGCTAGGGTTACAGGCGTGAACCACTGTGTGCGGCCCCGGGGAGGCTTTTTATAGGGGGACGTGGCGATTAAATGAGAAAAGCATTGAAAATGCACAGCACGGTGCTGGGTGCTTAGAAAGGCTCAGTAAAAGTCGGTTATTCATAGTATGCTTATCAAATCCCTGAAGGCAAAGATGTAGCATTTCTTGAAATTATTATAGATTTAAAAGTTGCTACAGACGATTTCAGCCTCACTAAAAAATACGAAGGTAATATAACAGACACTATTGCTATTCTTTTTCTTCTTCTTCTTCTTCTTTTTTTTTTTTTTTTGAGACAGTCTCAGTCTCTCACCACCTAGGCTGAAGTGCAGTGGCACAATCATGGCTTACTGAAGCCTCGACCTCCTGGGCTCAGGTGATCCTCCCACCTCAGCGTCCTGAGTAGCTAAGACTATAGGCGCCTGCCACCATGCCCAGATAATTTTTTGCATTTTTTGTAGAGACAGGGTTTTGTCATGTTGCCCAGGCTGGTCTTGAACTGCTGGGCCCAAGAGATCTGCCTGCCTCGGCCTCCCAAACTGTTAGGATTACAGACATGAGCCACTGCACCCAGCCACTATTGCTTTTCTTTTGTGTTTTTGAGATGGAGTCTCGCCCTGTCACCCAGGTTGGAGTGCAATGGTGAATTTTCAGCTCACTGCAACCTCTGCCTCCCATATTCAAGCGATTCTCCCGCCTCAGCCTCCCCAGTAGCTGGGACTACAGGTGTGTGCCACCACGCCCGGCTAATTTTTTGTAGAGATGGGGTTTCACCATGTTAGCCAGGATGGTCTCAATCTCCTGACCTTGTGATCTGGCCCACCTCAGCCTCCCAAAGTGCTGGGATTACAGATGTGAGCCACTGCACCCGGCCTGGTTTTCTTTTAAAGGGCAAACGATGCAATATTTTCAAGGAGTTTCAACAGCTATCTAAAATTCTGGACCTCAGATATTTCTTTTCTTTTCTTTTTTTTTGAGATGGAGTCTCACTCTGTCACCCAGGCTGAAGTGCAGTGGCATGATCTTGACTCACTGCAACTGTCACCTTCCAGGTTCAAATAATTTTCCCACCTTAGCCTCTCGAATTGCTGGGACCACAGGCATGCACCACCACGCTTGGCTTTTCTTTTCTTTTTTTTTTTAATTTTTTGTAGAGATGGGGTTTCTCCATGTTGTCCAGGCTGGTCTTGAACTCCTGGGCTCAAGCAATCTGCCTACTTTGGCCTCCCAAAGTACTGGGATTACAGGTGTGAGCCACTGTGCCCGGCCACTGGACCTCAGATATTTTTAAAATCTCGATACTCCCATGTATAATCTTAATAATCAGTTTTCCTCTCTGCCTCTGTCCTGTTACCAGCTATAGAAAATGTGGGCTCAGAATTGGAAAACCAAACCAAAACCGAAACAATGTAACTTTGTGGCGTAGCTAGTGGCCATCACACAGTGCAGTGTGATGTTACACCTCCCAAGGTAGTGCGATGCCTATGGAGGTTTAACATCACACTGCATTGTTCCAAATCCCCTAAACAAACATTTCTTGTTCTAGATGCTGGAGACAGAGGGGAAGGTGCTGAGACCTTAGATCATGAGAAGCATTTGATTTGGTGGTAGGAATAAACATGGGTGATCATATCCACACAGTAACGCCCTAGAGGAGTTCTAAAGAAATCTTTAGAGACAGAGGTTGCGGTGAGCTGAGAATGCGCCACTGCACTCCAACCTGGGCGACAGGGTACTGAGGGCCTCCAAGAAGGCAGTGGCCATTACTATGAGAGGGAGGAGGATGGCCCCACGTGAACATAACCCTTGAGCCTGGATACGAAAGTCAGTTTGGTGTCTAACCACCTGCTGAATAGGTAAGAAAGCCTCCCAGGAAACAAAGAGAGGCATGGAGAAGCCCACAGTGTGTGGGCAAACAGGGCAGATAGCTGGGGAGATTAGGGCTGGGGCCAGCCTACCCCGACAACAGGCACCACGACTTAGGGAGCTCACAGCTGAGTAGGTGAAGATCCATGCTGGCGCAACATAGAGGCCTGGGGTTTTCAGATGTGGGTCAGTTGATGGGAAAAGCAGGTGACCTGCACCTTGCGGATCAACTCATTCTTCTCCAACTAAAGCAGGGAAATCATTATTTTGTTTGGAGTTCCTTTAGGAGGACCTCTTCATGGAGGGAACCCACTGGGGTAGTCCGTGGGACCTTGGACAAGACCCAGTGGGTGCAAGCAAGAGAAAGAGTGGGGCTCGCACTGGCCAGGACCCACTGGGGAGACACTCTGTGTAGGTGGTCACATCCCTTCCTCACACCTCATCCTTGGATCATACACACCATGCCTCTCATTTTGTAAACAAGGGAAATTGAAGCTCAGAGACAGTGACGCCCAAGGCTTTTCAGTTCATTGGAGTTTGGGTTCAGACTTGAGCTTGGATAGGCGTGGCTCCGAAACCCAAGCTCTTTCTTGTTTAGCAGTTGAGAACACAAATTTTGTGTCTTGCTTGTTGAACCCTGGGCAAGGGACTTGGGCAAGGAACTTGACCTTGGCATGTCTTAATTTCCGGATTTGTAAAATGGAACTGATAATTGTGCCTGACTTAGAAAGGTTGCTGAGAACTTTAATCAAGTTAATGATCCAAGCCACTTGGGCCAGTACTGGCACATTGTAAGTGTCTAATAAGTATCAGCTGTTCTTGTTCTTGTCATTCGTATCATCCTTTGCTGTTTTCCTTATGACAAAGACACACTCCAAATGTGAGGTCTGTGGGAGAGATTATCCAGAATCGCTGAAATGTACTTAGTACATGAAATATGACACCTTGTAACTATATTTTGAAATATTCAGATGCTGAATTGTTTATAAGTAGAGTGACCATATTAGTTTAAAAACACATTACTCCCTTGACCTGAGCCCACAGCAGACATCCCTAATTGCTCACGCTGCTCTTTTTCATTGAACACGGACACAGTCAGGAATCCTTCCTAACCCAGAAGAATGATGTGTTGATACAGGTGAGGAATTATCTTTGCATCCCAGGCTGGGGAGAATCCAGCACAGAACTATAGAGAGGGAAGTTGCCGGCCAGTTGCCTTGGCCAATTGGCTTTTCTTTTTTTTTTTTCCCCCGAGATGGAGTCTCTCTCTGTCGCCAGGCTGGAGTGCAGTGGCACGATCTCGGCTCACTGCAACCTCTGACTCCCAGGTTCAAGCGATTCTCCTGCCTCAGCCTCCCGAATAGCTGGGACTACAGGTACTTGCCACCACACCCAGCTAATTTTTGTAATTTTAGTAGAGAGGGGGTTTCACCATGTCGGCCAGGATGGTCTTGATCTCCTGACCTCGTGATCTGTCCACCTCAGCCTCCCAAAGTGCTGGAATATCAGGCGTGAACCACCGCACCCAGTCAACAATTGACTTTTCTAAGTCAGTGGCTTCTTTCCAGTCAGCCCCAAGCTAGGCTACCCTTTGGCAAATTCACATCATTATTTCATCAAGAGCCCTTGGGAAGAAAAGTTGGAAAACCCAGCCCCCTACCCGGACACAATCCAGAGCCCATGGATTCCTGAAGAGCCCCTGTACCTATGGGAGGCAGGTGAGAAACTACGAAAACATCCTAACAATTCTAAGTGTCAGGGATCCACCATCCGGATTCTAACCTCTCCTAACGTCTGGCTTTCTTTGATTACCTCCAACAGGGGAATATATTTGAGAAGCTGGGAATTTGCTCCATGCCCAAATTTATCCGTTTTTTACATGATAGCGTGAGAATTAAGAAGGACCCTGAACTTGTGGTGACCGACCTGCGTTTTGGGACGATACCCGTGAGGCTGTTCCAGCCCAAGGCAGCATCCTCCAGACCCCGGCGAGGCATCATCTTCTACCATGGAGGGGGCACGGTATTTGGGAGCCTGGGTAAGGGGCTTCCCTGTGGCTTTGCAGAGGAAGGGCCTCATCTGCATGCATAGCCTAGCTCCTGCCTCCCACAAGAACCCTTCTGCAGTAGCTTAAAGGAATCAGTTGTTGGAGATTTTTATAGCGTTAACAGCCCAGACGAAGGGCTTTGGGCTCAGGTCAGTAGATGGTGTGGCAGCCTACATGGGAAACCTTTTCTTTTCTATAATATGATAGTCTCAGTCAAGATGGGGACAGCAGTGTCACGGCGGGGCTGTCACAGAGGCTGTGGACTCCTCTCTCCCCTTTCTACTCACAGTCATTGGCCTGCCCTGTCTCATTTACAATGATTCCCAAACCCACGTATTTCCCTCTAGCTCTGCAGTATCGCCATGGCCCAAGACCCCATCCTTGCTTGCCTGCCCCCTTGCACCCCAGCCTCCCAGCCATGGGTCTCCCTGGTTCACCTCTCGCCCCTCACATCTGGTCCCCACCTAGCAGCCAGAGGGATCTTTTAAAAATACAAGTCAGAGCTGGTCAGCCCTGCACTTAAATCTCTCCTGTGCCCTTCCATGAAACCCAAACTCCTCCCACAGCCTCGCCCGGGTCACCTGTGGTGGCCCTTACCCATTCACTCAGCTGCAGTCCCGGTACGCGCCTATCTGCTGCAGACACTTCAGCTCCTTCTCACCACCATTCTCAACCTGCTGTTTCCTCAGCCTCGAAAGATACCCTTCCCGCCCCTGACATTGCATGGCTGACCACCCCTGGTTCTTTAGTTGCATCTCAACTGTCCCTCCCCAGAGTGGTCTTGCTACCAGTGGGCTGGGGGATGTCCCCAAAGGCCGGTGGGACCTCCAGCTGGTGTCCCTGCTCTTGAAACTGTTGTGAGAATGAATTCAAGGACAAGTCAGAAAACAGTGAAAATACAGAGATTTGTTGCGAAGGGAAAAGCACACACTCAAGAAAAGGGAGTGGGGTGGACTCAAGAGAGACAGGCGCGAAGAAACGCTACCTTTATGCGTTTCTTTAATCAAGGGGTGGGCTCTTCATGAACATTCTTGGAAGAAGAGGAAGTTTTCTCAGCGCTGCGGTGCCACCCATTTGTACACCAAATACGGTGTCCCCATAACTGTCCTGGTGCTGGTGGGTGTGTGTTTAATATGTTAATGAACACATAAGGAGGTCCTAGGAGAAACCCAGGTCCAATCCAGTGCCATGTTGGGTCCAGTGGGTCTTTGCCAGCTTGGTCCACACCCCGGCTTTTCAGGGTTTTATCAGCTTCTGCAGCTATTTCAACAGTTTCCTTTTGCTAGTCGTGTGAAACTGCTGCCTGGAATTTTCTATTCTTCTGCGACCACCCTGTATAATTTCTATCTCATTCTTTTTTTCCCCCAGAGATTTCCATCTCTTATACTTAGGGGTTGATGAGGGAGGAAGGTCTCCAGTCTTCAGTATCTACTTCCTGCTGGTTAGGGGTGTTGGCCCCGCCTAGTGTGGGCTTGGAAATTTCTGGATGCCTAGCCTATGGGTCCCAAGGTTGGGTCATCAGGAGGATCTGAATCTCAGGCAGGGATTGATCGGAATCCTGCAGGGCCATCCTTTTGACATGGAACTGTTGCAATCTATTAGGTTGGTGCGAAAGTAATTGCCGTTTTCGCCATAAAAGGCAAAAACCATTTGTGCCAACCTAGTGGAAGACATAAACTTTACAAAGAGATTAAACAAGCAAGGACCCAAGATCAGAAGTAATAAGACAGCTATTAGAGGCCCCAGGAAAGGCAGGACTCATGTCACACTTGGTAGGTATCCCTGGATGGAGTCCCATGTGGTTTCAGCAGTGAGGTTATTGAAATTATACAGCTGGATAGCCTGTTGGTAAAACTTGGAACTTGTAGTTTAGCTAATCCTGAATTGTTGATGTAAGAGCAACAGGTATGAACAATAGGTATGGTTTATTACCGCACAAACCCTTCCAAGTGGTTTATGCTCTGGTCCTGTTAGGGCCTCGTACGGTGGCTTAGTAATGAGCTCAAATCCTGGGATCCAAATCCTGTAAAATCTTGGCATACCCATGAAAGTTCTAAGTTGCTTCTTTGTTTGTGGAGGTCCTGCCTTCAAGATTGTCTCCTTTCATTTGATGGACAAGGTCTGGTTCCCTGGGCTTAGAATGTGCCCTGGATATTTTACTTTACTTTAGGTTTAGAAATCTGGGCCTTGGATGAAGAGAACCTACACCCACTTTTTCCCATGAAGTTTAGGACCTGAATGCCATTCTTCTCTGAGTCCTCTTTAGTGGGACTGCATACAAGGATAACATCCACATATTAGAGTATCCCTCCCTTTCTAGCTCTAGTTCCCTTAATTCTCGTGCCAAGGGATTTCCAAACACGTGAGTCCTATCCCCAAAGCCCAGAGGCAGTGCCGTCCAGGTGTGCTGCTGGGAAATAGTAGTTCCAGGATTAGTCCACTCAAAAGCAAACAAATACTGAGATTCAGGGTGCAAAGAGAAGCAAAAGAAACCATCCATAAGATCTAATACCATGAACCAATTGGTGTTTCCCAGTATTTGGGTAAATACGATATAAAGATTTGGCACTATAGGATGTAAGGGAATTACGGTCTCATTAATGGCTTGTAAGTCTTGAACTACTGTTTGGTTTTTGGACAGGGAGGACAGGAGTATTACAAGGAGATTGACCTGGAATCAGGAGGCCATGTTTTAACAACTTCTCAATTAGAGGTTGCAGTCCTTGCCTGCCTTCTGATTTGAGAGGATATTGATCCTTGTATGGGGAATTATTTTTGTCTTTTAAAGAGATGATCACTGACTGAGCATGTATTGCTTTGCCAGGAGTTTCTTGGTTCCATACTTGTGGGTCTACTTGAGACCTTATTTTGGTGTGTGTGTGTGTCTCCTGTTTTTCTGAGGCTGGCAGAACAACAAACATTGCCAATAAGGAGAGCTTTATAGGGCTTGATAAAGTGCCTTGATTTATTGGGATGGCTAGGAAGTCCCATCCCTGTAGGGGACTGGTGGGAAAAATTTTAGTTATAATAGTCACAAACCTCCTTGGAAGGCCTGAAAGTTTTTGCAAAAATCTCAGGATAAGGTTATGGCTGAAGGCAACCTAATCCTTACCTTGAGTAAAGAGCTTAAAGTAGGTACAAATGAAGATGGAATAGTTTATCTAAATAGCTTGTTTCCTCATGTGGTCCTAAGACTAACCTTTGATCATTCGTGGGCAAGACGGCCCTCTCTGGGGTAGGGGCGACCAGGTTAATTACCCACAGGTGTGTTGACTCAAGCCTTTGTCAATTAATCTTTACTGAATAAATACGAGTCTCGCTGGCTGGTCAGGGCCGTGGCCGCTGACTCTTTACAGCACCTTGCTTGGTGTCTGTAAGTGACTCGGACACTCAGCCGGACTGACAAAGCAGAATATCTGTGTCAGTGCATGTTATTCATCCGTTGTTGAGTCAGGGTCTCGCACATCCCAATAAACGAATGGGACATTCTGGCATAACTAGAAACTCATGAGTTACTATATAGTGTCCCAGCCTGCAGCTCAGGTGTAAAGTAAAGCACTTTGATTTTGGGGTGCCATCAACACCTGTGACACTGTAGCTTTTGGAGGCTAAGGGCCCAGTATGGCTGTTTAGGAGAGAGTAACTGGCCCTTGAGTCAATTATGAAATTAATATTTTTACCAGCCATGTCAAGAGTCACTGAGGCTCCTCAGTTGTGATGACCATGACTTTTATGGGGGCTGCCAGGAACCTCAGGCCTCTTCAGTTCTCAGTTACAGCCATTATGGCATTGGGTGTCCTTCTCTCCCTTCAGAACTCAGGGCAGTCCCTTTTCCAATGGCCCTTCCGCTTGCAGTGAGGGTAGGGTCTAGGTGGGCTCCCTGGCTGGGACAGTCATTGCTTCAGTGTCCCGGCTTTTCATACGTGAAGCAGTAGCCATTGCCTGCAGGTTTGCTGTTAGGCCTGTTTGACCCATCGGTGACGCCTCCGTCTGGGTGACCCTTGGTGTGTGGAGCACTGGTTGCAGTGTTACAATGACGGCTATCATTTGGGCCTGCTCTTCATCCCATTGTTTGCCATGCCGGGTCTTTTCAGCCTTTTCAGCCCTCTCCCTATTATTGAATATCCCAAAAGCCACATCAAGCATTTGATTAACAGGCATTTGGAGTTACAAAGACAATTTCTGTAATTTTCTCCTGATGTTGGGCACTGACTGGCTAATAAAGGGTTCTGATAAAGAGCCATGAAGGCCTATATATATGGTATTTCAGTCAATTTCTCCTGACATTTACAAAAAAGACCTAATCGCAAGATGGTATTAAAATTTAGGGTTTCATTCTCTGGCCATTGCACCCTATTTTCCAACTTATATTGGGGCCAAATGGTGTTACAGAAAGAAATGAGTTTCTTCTAAGCCCATCAAGTTTAAAATTATTCCAGTTTTTAAGAATGCGTCTCAAATGGCCTTGGCTTTTTCTTGGCATGACTTGAGAGAGAAGGGGAAAATAACAGTATGGTTCCCTCATGGATGGACTGGTCCTGGCATTTTATGAAATTCCCTTGTGATTGGCCAGCTCCATGGCCATGCCAGGGAGACAGGCATCTCAGAGGCATCCCAGTTGTCTTGGCTGGCTGCCTCAGTGTCCAGGCACCCCTGGAGCCCTACTGTCCTTGGCCTCCAGGCATCCCTGGAGTCTCAGTGTTGCCCAGGCATCCGTGGCCCCTGGGGCTTTGGAAATGGGAAGGTCGAGAAGGGCAAGCTGTGGGCCTGCAAGCTTGCCGATATCCATCTGAACATTTACCACCAGGTAAAGCTTGGGAGTAGAGATGATTCAGTAAGGCCAAAAAATAGGGACCTTGAAGGGACCCCCCCTTGGCATTCCAGAAAGCAGTATCTAAGGGGCCTATCCTGCTGTGTCTAAAGAGTTCACTAAGCTGTTGGGTGAAGTGTGAGGAAGAAGCATGAGAAGAGAAAATCACAACAGTAGGGTT